TTGTATCTACTTTGGTAGGATCTGTATGAGTGGGTTTTTTTTTTTTTTTTTTTTTTTTTTGGGTTTGCTGCATGGGAGTAAATAACTTGGGTTTGGGGTTGCAAAAGGTGCTTTTTGTAGGTAATATGTAAATGTAGTAAATGCATGGAAACAAAGTGAATCACATGGTCTTGTATCTACTTTGGTAGGATTTGTATTTGGCAAGAATATGTAGGATTTTTTTATATTGGATTTTTGGAGTATGTGATGAAATTTTGGGGAAATGGTGGATGTTTTTTCCTTTTGCTAACTTTTGTGCAATCCTAACAAGATAATTGTGTAAATGTAACCTTTTTGGCTTATATTATCAATTAATGATAAGTGATATTTCCTTTTTTATGTACCTTTTTATGGTCGTTAACATTAATATCTGAAATTACTATTTCAATTTGTTCAATGTTCAAAGAAATGAGGTAACAATTCTGGAAAAGGCAATCACCATTCATTTTATCCAAAATAAATTATATTACGAAGCTTGGGGAGAAATCAAGCCCCATACTAGAATTTTTGGGGGCAAAATCTATCAACCTTCAATACTACCATTCAATACAACCACATTGCCCACCAAAAAATAGATAATGCCCAAAAAACAAAACTCTCCCCATTTGCCTATTTTCTTAATTTCCCAACCTTTTGAAACCCCAGTTCCCCTCAATAGGTAGAACCCAACTCCTAAACAAGAAAAAGGCAAGAAGAATAGCAAGCAAAATAGCCACGACCAAAGAAATTTGGCCACATTTCTTCCATTTCTCTAGCTTCGCAGCATACACCATTGTTAGTGTCACTAACATCTGCAAATCATTGACTTTCTTCTCCAATGCCTTAATTTGTTGCTCTCCTTTTTCTTCACAACGCTTCAAAACATTCCTAAGAGCTTTGATCCTTTCCCTTGCATCATCCAAATCAGTATCCAATTTTGTCTTACTGTTGTATAGCCACAGGATAACCTCCTTAGCCCTAAAAGAGAAATCTCGATTATACCACACAAAATACTTACATGTCGCTTTTTGTTCTGCAAATGTCAAAAATCACATTTCATTAACAATGAATCCAAACCCAATCTCTATACCAAGCAACGCCCTAAATATTACCACACAATACCTTTGAAATATCTTAACAAAGAAACCCCTAAACAACACACTAATTTAAAATCAAATATTAGGGAAGGAATTACTATGGGATCATAGATTGGGCATCCAAAAAACCTCCAACTAGGATTCTTTTCGCTCCAAGACATGATCCTCAGAGCCTTCAAACCACAAAAGCAAAATCAACTTGTCCCTCGTAATCATACTCGTGTCTTCCAAATTCCACCGGTGTTGAAGTTTGAGAGTTGTTGGAACTAGTCATTGAACAAGGAAGTAAATGAAATAGGTGTGAATGTGATAGATTAGAGAAGGGAAGAAGGGAAGGAAACTCAAAACTCTTTGTGCCCTAAGGATCATTTAAATAGATTTGTTTGCATTCTCTGTCTACTTTTTTTTTCAAATATTTAGTCAACGAGTGGGGCCCACATAGCGGTAGAATTCTCACTCATGAGTGGTCCAAGCTGGACTTGCCAACTTGTCAAAAAAAATCTGAGTTGGCGTTGACATGTGCATATATGACGAAGGCCAATGGTGCATGTGCTGCATGTGGTCCTCCGACGTTAAATTTTGCCTCATTTCCTTAAACTAAAAAATATGGAGGGCAAAAATCCATTTATTTGAATATTAGGAGTAAATGCCTCAAATTCGATAACTTGAAGGGCAAACGGGGGGTTTTTGCTAATGTAGTAGGAATGAATTCACATAAAAAATGGAAAAAAATGTAGAGCTTGAAGCGTACGGTTTTGAGGTTGTGTTTCGACTTCTTTGTATATTCTTTTGTGTTTTGGATTTTTTTTTTTTTCGGATTTATTGATGTTGGACATTGTACTTAGGGGAGCTTATTTGGAAAGAAATGAAGAGGAAGAAAATGAAAAATATTCATCTAATGTCTCAATTTGATTGTACGGAAAAATTTAAACTTAATTTCTTTTAGGTTTTTTTGAACTAAACAAACTAATAATAATATAGTCAAAATATGACCATAAATGAGTTAAATCTTATATAATTTGAATTTAACTTTATACTACCTTAATAAGTCAAATTGAGTGAAATTTGAGTTTTTAACGAGTTTAAATATATTGAACTTAAAAAAAACTTGAACTCAATTGATTATTTAAATTTAATTTAAAATAAAAATAAAAATATTTAAATATAATTATTTTTTAATGCAATTAAAATGAGTCAAGTTGAGTTTAGTTTTAAGTCAACTAAATTTTTTAAAATTAAAATTAAATTTTGAATCAAATAACTTTATTCATTTATAACATCACCAACATGTTGTATATTCCTCTATAATTTATATCCTACAAAAAATAAATGTTTACCGTGAAAGTAATAATTCAATTATATCGTACATTATAAGTTTGTCAAAGTGTCATGACAACAATTTGAGTAGTTGAAAACAATTTTTATACTAATAATTACTAATAACTAAAAGAATTAAAAGGTAATGCATATTTGGTACACAGTTAAGACAATAGTATCTTTCTTGGTCAAAGAAGGTGACTGAGTAACCAGCAGTTGGGCCCATACGTACACAGCTGTAATGCTCCAAATGTACTTTTACTTCCTTCCACCTGTAATCCCATAAACCCCCTACTCACCTTCCACACCAGGCCTGAAAATTGGTAATTCCAATTTTAGTTTTGGTTTTTTAATTTTAAATATTTATAATTTATGAATTATTTTTTTTATAATTTTTTAATTTTTGAACCACAATAAATATTTTTTTAATTTTTTTATCAATTAATTTGTTAAATCTATTTATATATATTTTTAGTTCTCAAATTTAAACTAAAAATTTACATATATCAAAAATTTAAGGAATCTATAGATTATAAGCAACATCTCTTTTAGTAAAAAAGATTGAATCCCAAGTTCTGCAATAAGATGTAACCAGCAGATTAGAATATCAGGTAAGTTTATGACCAAAGAAAAAGAAAAAGAAAAAAAAAAGGGCAACGCCAAGATAGGTTCCAGCGATGCTTCACAAAACAATTGTTAGTATACAGTGCATGCAAATATTAAGTGTGAACATGTCTACAAGGAATCTAGAGATTACAAGCAAGTAAAGAGAAGATAAGACCTAGTAAAATAAGAAAAATGCAGGGGTCAAGGTCTGACATATGCAGCGTAACAAAATTATGGTTTCAAGAAAAGCTTACATCTTCAGACTCCTCTTGCTCTTCCACTTTCTCTTCTTTCTTGGTCTCGGCTGCAGCTGGAGCAGTGGCACCTCCAGCACCAGCAGGTGCAGCAGCAGCAACTGCAACACCAGCACCACCAGAAGGCACTGAGGCCAACTTGTAGGGGAGACATACAGCTTAGTGGAGTGACATTGACTAACTCATTACATGTTTTGACATCATATTAGAACCAAAAGACTAGTTTAGAAGTTCCATGAGTTTTCATATATATAAGTCACTCTTTCTAAATTTCATTGATATGGGATCTTAACTCACACTCACAAGGGAACATACTATTTCAATAGTCCCCCTTTCTCTTGTGAGTTGTGAATGCCTCCGTGAACTTTTGACATACATACATGGCATAATTCATGGGTATACTCATCCCTCGTCATGGCCTTACATAACATTCACTCTCACTTTGCTAAACCCGACCCAAGATCGAAATGACCATTGGCTGTGCTATGCCATTAACTTTAATACCATTTGTTGAAGAGATATACGACTTAGCAAGGTGATATTGAGTGACTCATTATATGTTTTGACATCACATTGGAATTAAAAGACTAGTTTAAAAGTTCCATGGGTTTTCACATATATAAGCCATTCTTTCCTTTTAAATATCTTCGATATGGATATTAACTCATACTCACAAGGAAACATACTACTTCAACACAACTTCTCCCTCCCAGCAGCAATAAGTTCTGTTATATCTTTTGTCCTTGACTTGTGATAGGAAGAGCTCTGTCCTATCTTCATCGGCATCAGCTCCAACTGTAAAGCCCATATAATTCTAATCCCTTTAGTAATAAATTAACCGGATACTCTTCTTTACCAGTCACTAGTTACTGCTCTTGCAGAAGCATTGTAGAATACAGGAACTATAATCTATTTTTTATGTAATTAGGTCACTAAAAAAATTCAAGAGCTGTTTCCTGAACATGATAACTCAGTTAAAAGCATTTCACGATGTCACAAAATTACAAGTCACTAAGGAAAACAAACAGAAAACTTTGACATCCCTTAACATGGAAGGGAGGCAGAGTACATCACCTAGATGCTGGAGTATTCAATATTATTAATGCAAATCTCCTACAGCACATACATTATCTAAGGCCCCTTGGACATCATGACAGCAATAGCAAAAAAATAAATAAATAAATGTGTTCACTCATTTAAAAGCATTCCACAATGTCACAAAAATACAAGTCAAAACTTCGACATCCCTTAACATGGAAGAGAGAGAGTACATCATCTAGATGTTAGAGTATTCAATATTATTAGTGCAACATCACATACATTACGTAAGACCCCTTTGACATCGTGATGGCAATAGCGAAGAGAAAGACCCATTGGCATTGTCCCATCCCCTTAGAAACCTTCCCATGCCAAGGTTACCGAACAAATCAACATAGAAAATTGTTGCTAAAAGACCCATGCATCTCAATCAAACAAATAACATGAATTCTAAGGATTAAAAATGGTAGAAGAGAACACAAAATACCTAAGATTTCAACATTGAAAAAAAAAAAGTTTTTGGGAAACATACTGGAACCAAGGATGTGCTTAATATCATCAGCTGAGGGGGTGGTGTTGCCTCCCAAGACGGCCGACAATTATGCAGCGACCACCTTCATCTTTCACAAAGATCAACGCTTTCTGCTACCTTAACTGAAATCCAGAAACAAAAACGTCAATGCCCATTCCAGAAATCTTTAGAGAAAGACTTCATGTAAACGTAAAATAGAGGAGCAGGAGAGTACCGCTAGGGATCTGGTGGGGTAGTGGGAACAGGATGGTGAATAAGGGAGAGGCTGGCGGCTAAAACCAACTTTTAGCCTCTCACATTACAAAATTGGTAAGTTTTAACCTCTAACTTTATAATATGACATTTTTAGCACTTTACCTTATTATAAAGTTGGTGGGTTTTAACTCTTCACCTTACAAAATTGCTAGGTTTTACTCTCTCACCTTATATTATGACACTTTTAGCCTCTTATTTATAAGAATTGAAGAAAATAGCCTTTATTTAACATTAAGTTATAATGTTCTATTAGTTTTGTTAATTGACTGTCAGTTTTGTTAGCTGACTATTAATTTTATTAGTTAACTGTTAGCATCCATTAACATTCCGTTAATGAAATTAACAAATAAAATTGAATTTAAATTTCATGTTTTTTATAACAAAATGTTAATGGATGTTAACAGTCAACTAACAGAATTAATATAACGTTATAATATGATATTAGGTGAGGGCTATTTTTCTTTAATTCTTATTAGTGAGGGGCTAACAATATCATAATATAAGGTAAGTGATTAAAACTTACCAACTTTGTAAGATGAGGGGCTAAATCTTATCAACTTTGTAAAATAAAAAACTAAAATTGTTATGTTATAAGGTGAGAGGCTAAATGTTGGTTTTTGCCAAGGCTGTTTATATATACCTAGGCTTTCGTTAGAGTTAAGAGTGGAGGTAGAAGTTCTACTACCATATGGATATGGATTAATCACCTCATTAGTTGGCCCAAGTTTCTGTTGTGATGGGCTTTTTTATAAGGTGGGCTTATGATTCTTTTCAGTAAGGTGGGTTTCGTATTAAAAAAAGACATGTTATTTTGTGTAGAAACATTTAACAGTTTTTATATCCTTAGTCGCAAGATAAGGAATAATAATATATGTAATAAATATAGACAAATTAGTTGTTTACCAATGACTTGTTAATTTGAATGAAAGGAGTTCGGTTTTTTTTTAAGTAAAGTTTCAAATTCAAATTTTGTGAATAAAAAAAACATGTGTTTGAAGAGCTTTAGTCTTTTTGGTTTAATGTGATTCAACTTTAAATTGATTGAGGTCTAGATATTGGAGGTTAGTGCCCCAAAAAAAAGACACATGCCCTCTAATGAGGTGAAAAAAAAAAAAAAAAAAAGACACATGCCCTCTAATGAGGTGTTTTAAGTAGTTAAGAATTTAAGACTTTAAATTAGAAATCTTAAGTTTTAACTTTGAGAGGCATGTGGAAGGATTAAAGGAACGGGTGGATTATCCCTATTGTATAGCTTATTATTTGATGTACTTAAAAAAAATATAAAAATAGATACATAACACTCCTTATTTAAATTAAAATCAAAATTTATATTAATTTTAACGCTTTTTGAGATAATTATAAACTAATTATTATGGCACAAAATAGAAAAGCTGTACATTTAAAAGCTTGATTTTTGATCTTCTCTGAGGTGATTAAATATTGAGTTTGTTTTAAAAATTTGGGTTTTAAAGAAATGGAGATTATGAGTTCAAGCTTCAACTTCAACTTAGAGCTCGTTAATAGTATGTTTGGTTTAAGGAGAATAAAAGATTTTTGACTAATTAAATTATAATATTTTATAATAATATTATTTATTTAATTATAAAACTCTTTTCTTTCCTCCATCCTCTTCTTCCATTGTTTTCGGTCTAAACATACTATAAAATAAAAAATAAAACAAGTTCTTACTTTTTGTTTGAGCTTGCTTAACTTTTGAACTTAATTTTTAGTTTGAACTCAACTCTAATGATTATTCCAAATGTGCAACAGTCATGAGCTCAGCCCTAACCTGCTTGATTTTGGATTTCAAATTCAATCATTGGATTTAGTGTTGTATTGATATAGATTATGCATATTAATTTTTAAGTTAATTTAACATTTATAATCATTCGATCAAAAAATGTATATTTTTTTAACATATATTTAATAGTTTTAAATTTTGTATAATTAATGAACTATTTAAATATATTTAATTAATCTAAAAATTGACATACATGATTTATATAAATAGAATATTAAATCAAGTTGTTGT